CCCTAATAAAACGATTAAAAAAAAGATTATTAAATAATAGTATGCTGATAATGTTCAGAAAAAAAAGTATGGGGAGAGTTTGAGGATCAAAGTGAACACTAATACTGGGTAAAGGAGGCCTTGAAGCAATGTCTTTCAGAACTGTGAGAGAAAAAAAAATTTTTTTTGAGGGAAAATATTTTTAAAGCAGTTCTTTACTCAAAGCTCATAGCAAATACACAAGCCACGTGAAGAAATTTTCAGAGACAGCAACTCAAGTTTGACTTCCTGTGAACTCTAAAGGATCTCTCGTGGTGCTATCAGCTAAGCATTGAACTGATAACGGCAATTACGGTTGGTAGTTCAAAACCACCAGCAGTTTTGTGGGAGAAAGATGAGGCTACCAGTTCCCATAAAGATTCACAGCCTGGGAAACCCTCTATCAGATCAGTTAGAATCTATTGGAGGACCTGATGAGTTTCTCTAGCATAAGGAAAAGGAATAAAATCTAGGGGAATCAAGAAATTATTGCTGTGAGCCCAACCCAGAAAAACTGAAGTTAACTAAAAACTAAACAAAGTCGAAACAGTCACTTTCCATGAACCAAGACTTACAGACATAGGATATTTTATTGTCTGTGGGTCCAATCACATTGTTGGTTTTCTTTCTTTTTTAAAAAAAATTTATTATTATTTTTAAACATTTTATTAGGGGCTCATACAACTCTTAGCACAATCCATACACACATCAATCGTGTAAAGCGCATTTGTACTTCATTCTCAAAACATTTTCTCCCCACTTAAACCCCCGCATTAGTTCCTCTGGTTTTCTAGTAAATAATCATCAGCATGATTTGTGGAGTAGTGCTTATTGACCTTCACGCTGTACAGTCAGCCTGTATCCAAGACTTCGGTGGAGTGCTCACCGCTCAGAGCAGATCAACTTTAGCGACTAGAGCAGAGAGCACAGCTGCCTTGTGGCTTTCTGAGGCTGTACATCTTGGTAGGCACCTGAGACATCATCTTTCTCCTGTAGAGCTGGGGATGGGTTTGAACTTCTGCCCTTGCGGTTAGCAGCCAAATGTGTAAATGGCTATACCACCAGGGCTCCTTTAAGAATATTTACAGAACATAATATCATTAAAGTTGGCAAAATAATACAACTTGATATATGAATGGAAGTGAAAGTTTTGCTACAAAATCATAGAAAATTTTATTTGAAAAATATAGAAATGTGAAGCCTTTATTTCTCCACATATCTGCCATCTAGATCTATACAGTTCTGGAAGTGGTATTTCCATCACCAATCCTTCTCTGAAGAATTTTACTTTTTCATTTTCATATCAAAAATGCTAGCTTTGGAATCTTTGAGGGACTCAGATCACGTTTCTTTTCAATGTTATTTGAGCTTTAGAAACAAAAAGTATTCTGTAGGGGCAAGAGCAAGGCTGTAGGGTAGATGGGGTCATTTCCCAATGAAATTCATCTAAGGCAGCCCTTGTTACCCTGGAAGAATGAATGAGCAGGCGCATCACTGTGACGAAAACAAATTCCTCAGTTCAACTTTCCTGACTTTGCCTCAGTGATACAGTTTTCCGTTCTCCGGAAAGCTCTTCTAAGACGTCCCTGTGACCGTCCTGTGTCCTTTGAGGAAACCTACCAAGATCACACAGTGGAATCCCCCCACAGTCACCATAAGCTTATATGCCGGTCTCTCTCTCTCGAATTTACCTGGCTCAGCAGACATCCTCAGAAGTCATTGCTTAATTAAAAACAACAACTAGGTTTCTATACTCTCTTTTACCACAAGTTGAATTAAAAGTAAAAATACAAAAAAGTATATATACAGAGGTGAGACAGACTAATTCTCCTTATTTTTAAGAATTCAAAATTTGCTTATAAGGGCAAAGCTTATGTGAATAATAATGGAAGTCAGGACTGAAGTTTGGTGTGAAACTTCAAAGCTTTATAAAGGCCCGATTTCTCTGGTATCTCCCTATTATAGTTAATGGCCTTAAAGACTAATAACGGTAACAGTAATCAGGGGGCAAGGCCTATGCCTTCCACTGCCCTTCATGGTAGGTGACCATGACGATGCTCTTAGGCGTAGTTAGCCAATGGCCTAGACTTTCGGAGCATTTACTATTAAAAATACTTGCTGGTCTTTGTGCATGCCATTTCTCCTCACAGTAGAACTGTGATCCGGGCATTTGCACTGACTGTTTTTCGTCAGGCCTTTCTTCCGTAGTACCTGAGTATACCTGAATTGCCAGCCTTCCTTTTGGCTACTCTCTGTGCACATGAACGGGACCCCTTTGTCATCTCTACAGCTAGCTAATCACTGGACTCCTTCCCAGTGTCTCCCACAGAGCGTGGACTTGGAAAAGCAAAATCGTTTTGACTAAGTCAGTTATAAATAGCCTGGCTTATTTTATTCTAGTTCCCGACGCTTATTCAAAAGCTGAACATTATCCACCACCGTATGAAAAGTAAAAACGCATCTTCTTACCTTTCTAAGTTCAGTTCAGACATGTCTTTCCTAAATGTCTGAAATATTTTAGGAACGCCTGTTAAAAAAACATGTAAAACCTTAGGACTCATTAAATCAGATGGTTCTCAACCATCCTCAACATTTAGTGATGACTGGGCACATTTTTGATGGCCTGGGGGGGGGGGCGGAGAGGGGGACAGGGGGATAGTGCTGCTACCAGCAGAGGTAGAGCTATGGCTACATGATGCTGTTAAACTCTGTTACACACGACGGCCCACAAACAGTTAGGTGGTCTAAAATGTCAGTAGCGAAGGCTGAGGAATCTACTTATTCTAAATAAGTGCTCTGCCTCTGGTTTTGAGGAAGTGACCAGATTAGCTTCAGGACAGGACGCTAAAAATTAAATACAAAAGCAAGCGCCTTTCAAAAACTAGTGAGTGAGTGTGTGTGTTTTTCAGTTCCAGAGCACTCCGATACTCCTCTGGAGAGATGCAAGTGCTCTTGTGTATGTTTACGTGAAAAGAGAGGCAATTACATGGATACACACGAGTTAAAATACAAGTGTGCGCTCCATATGGCACCAAGTTTCCAGTCTTAGGAAGTGTTTCTCCTAGAACCTAAATTATGAGCCAGCACAAGTTAGCGGCCAGCTTGGTGCCTGTGACCCAAGAGCCAGGGTGAGAGATCGCCAAGAGTGGTCAAAGTTGTCTGCGTGTGTGTGGTAGTGACGACCACTGGGTACATATATTTAGAAAGCAGACACGGGTTAGGCTAAGGCTGGCTGGGGACCAGCTCCCCCAGGGGCTGTGGTGTCTAATGAGCACGAGGGACAGGTACTTTTCTGGGATGCGATGGAGATCTGGGGGGAGTTCGACAGGTTGCTCCACGTTTGGCTCACTGACGGGCTGAGCTGTTCCGGGCTCGGGCTCAGGCTCCGGCTGATCACGCTAGTTATGCGCGGGATGGGGGCCTGCGCGTCCTCTCCCTCCTCCTGGTCCAAGAGCTTCAGCAGGTATTCGTAGTCCCAGGTCGCGGGGGCCTCGGGCGGTTTCTGATTCCGGGCCTCCACCTCTTTCCGAGCCACGTCCGCGGCCGGTTTCTCCTTCACTTCCACCTCTTTGGCCATGGCCATGGCCGCTGCGACCGTCACGG